GTCATTGCCAGCCTGGGTGACCCCTGTCGGGCGGGGCCGGGCTCCGGGAGCAAGAGGGAGACCTGTGGGCTCCGCCGGGCGCTGGATTGTTGGGCCACGGGAACGGGCTAATCCCAGCCCTGCGGCCGGGCCGGGGTGGGCAGAGGAACTCCAGTGAGGTGGAGGGTTTCCCCTTCGTGTGCGCCGGTGTGTGTGCACAGTCGCACGCACCCAGCCACGTCCCCCCTGCTGGCCTGGTGGGGGGAGCCCCGGGGTCCCCTCCCTACAGGAGTGGGCGCAGGCTTGGGAAGAGCAGCCTTGCCCCCAGCTGCCTAGTTCAGGAGCAGCCCAAAGGGGAGGGGCGGGAGCGCATGAGCCACGCCCAGTGACACTCACGCCATCCCTGCAGGGGGGTTGGGTCACCCCTGTGGCATGAGGGGAGGATCCCTCGGGGGCAGCTGCTCTGGGTAGAGCTATGGTTGCTCCGCACCTGCCGCTCCCTCCCCCGCCCAGCGCTTGTGGCGCCCGGCGCGGCTCCCGCTTCCTTGCCATCCATGGACCGACGCTCGTTTTCATCTCGCCCGCAGGGGGCGGGATCTCCAGCTATGTCAAGGACCCCTCGGACGCCGGCAAGAGTCTGGAGCCATGTCTCAGGCAGGCCATGAGCGACGTCCCCAGGGAGAGGCATCGGCTCACCCCTCTCTACCTGGGGGCCACGGCCGGCATGCGGCTGCTGAAGTGAGTTTCGCCATCGACCCCTGTCCCCGGATGCTCTTGGGCTCCCCGCCCAGCTGTGCAGCCCTGGGCTGGGCAGGGCAACGGGAATTGTCACCGTCTGCAACCCACCATCCTGCTGGGCCCCAGGGGGCAGGGAGCCCCCCCGGACACAGAGGGAATCCCTGGCCCAAGAAGACGTTTTTCCTGACCCGGAAAATTACAAGCTGGCCCTGGATCCTTTTCAGACCCTGCGCAGTGCGCGCCCCGCGCCAATACGGGCCAGCCCCGCAGGGGGAAGATCTGTTGCCTTCTTGGCCGGGCAGGTGGCGTGGACAGCAGGCTCGACTGGCCCCGCCCGCTGCCCCCCCTGCTGCAAGGGGAAGCTGGTAGAGCAGCCAGCGCCCCTTCCCCAGAGTCCCTGCCCCAGCCAGACCCATGCAGGGAAGGGAAGGCTCTTCTCCGGCCAGGGCTGGCAGGGCGTCCGAGTCAGCAATGCCCAGGGGCTCAGACCCGGCCGGCGAGCAGGGCAGACCCAGGCTGGGGCCAGTCTGAGGTGGGCAGCGGGGGAACTGGTGCCTGGCGCCAGCTGTGGTCTGGCTGGATACATGAGATTTTCTGGCTCTGGCTCC